TGGGATCGAGCCCCACATCGGGCTCCCTGCTCAGCAGGAAGCCTGCTTCTCCCTCTCCCACTCCCCTGCTTATGTTCCCTCTCTCGCTGTGTCTCTCTATGTCAGAAGAATGGATGGAATCTTTAAAAAAAAAAAAAAGTCTTGTAAATTCCTTTAAATTTGATTAAGTATTACTATAGGTTGAGCTAATAGTTGAATAAATGCTCTGAAAGCAAAGCTGTGAATTTTTTCAAGTATCACAGCTAAACAACCTTCCTTATATCTGCCCTAGTCACCCAAAACCGTATTTAGGCTAATTCCTAGATCCCCTAGACCCTTACACAGAACCCCTCAGAACTAGGTTCTGTGAAGCCTGAAGCTAGTGCCACTGGGGAGAGGGGCATTCTTTTTTATGAAAGATTCAACATTACAAATATGAAAGGAGTCCACACACGTTTGGGGCCTTGATGTGTAGGTATCATTAGCTCTGCAGGAAATCCACCTCTGATCAGACAATAAGCCACATGTCCCACCCCTCAGGACAATCTAGCCCATGTTTACTGGTGATTTCACATAGCTATGCAGACCACAGAGTTCCCTACTTTGGACAGAAAAGCAAACTTGATGAATAGATGAGCGTGTAGAAACAGATTGGAAAGAAAAAAATAGAGCTAAGTACCTTTCCTAAGGTACAAAATAAGGGAAGAACATGTATTTGAGCTCCAATATAATGCTGTAAATTATTACATAGGATAGGGTCAGGTAGAACTTTTTTCTGGATCTGATATCAGAGTGAGTTATGGGAAATGAGGCAGGTGGTACAAATCTGTTACACTTTAGTCAATTTGCAGTCCCAAAGACTCTGTTCACCACATACTTACCCATTCTAATCAAATGACTGGGGTGAACTGGGCTTATAATCCACAAATCAACTCATAACAGCTCATTGCTATCACATGACCTGGGAAGACATCTGGGTTCAAGTTATAGAACTTGTGCAAATACTGACCTCACAGGACGCCACAGGCAAGACAAGCCATCTCTCGCCCAAAGTGACTTTTCATTTCTCATCAGAGCAATCTTTCTCCTTCACATGCTTCACATATCTTTCCCTGCTTTCCCTCTCTGAAAACCTTCCCCTCTACTTTTCTCACTAGATTCTGGATCCCACTCCCTGCTGCTTAATGAGTAACTTTTCCCCAGTTCATTGGTTCTCAAACGTTTAGGGCTCAAGACCCTTTATATTTTTAAAAATTATTGGATCCAAAAGAGCTTTTTTTGTATATGCGGGTTACATCTATTTATATTTACCATGTTAGAAAATAAAACAGAAATATTTTTAGTATTTATTTATTAATTTAGATATAACAATAAACTCATTACATATATTTTATAAAAATAGAACAGCAGCACTGTCTTACGGTTTTGGAAATCTCTTTTGTGTGTAGATTAATAGAAGACAGCTAGATTCTCATATTTGCCTCTGTATTCAATCTGTTCAATATGTTGTTTTGGTTGAAGTATTTGAAAAAAATCCAGCTTCACGGAGACATGTTATTGCAAAAGGGAATATTTTAAGAGCCCATTTAGATCACTGTGCATGTTCTTCTCTAATACTACACTAAAACTCAACAAGTGAAGTTTCTTAAAGGTTAGTTGCAAAGTGAAATCTAAAACCCTATCTAAGAATGTTTCATACTCTGTAAAGTTAACCATTGGTTTATCTTGCACTTTGAATGGCTTTTATCCCTGCATAATTTTGTAACATCCTATACTGGAAAATACTGGTTCACTGAACCATGTAAATCTTCCCAACATTGACACATTTCATTCTTCAATATTAAAAAAAAACCTACCCACACATTCATTAGTATCACTACCAATATTATCAAAAAAATCATTTATGTATTGAGAAGCTAGCAAACTCAGAGTAGCAGATACAGATTTTCCAAACTGCTAATTTTCAAATGAAAGCTCAAATTTTATCATTGACAATGAACACTGATAGTTGTTTTCCTTAAAGTGATAGGCTTTTACTTCATTCATTTTCAAGAAAATATCTATGAAATACCCAAGTCTGAAAACCACAGCTTTTCTGGCAGTCATTCTTTCAAGTAAAAATAATATTCCATGATAAAAGCGGTTCATAACCCAATTGCCTAAGGGCTTTTCCTCAAGAAAACTCCAGTGTGCATCAGAAGTACTTAATACGTATTTCCAATTTTGTCACACAAAACATGAAAAAGATATTCTTAAATGGAATTCCCCATTACAACTATGTGACAATGATGACTACAATAACTAATAATATAATTTGGTGCCTCCATCTTGATTTGTACTAAGGCACCTGCAGTTTTACCTACCCGTTGCTTTGCATCACTAGTATAAATGTCAACTCAGTGAAAAGGGCAAAGAAACATCACAATAGCCAAGAGGTAGAAGCAACATAAATATCCACGGACAGATGAATAAACAAAATGTGGTGTATACATAAAATGGAATATTATTCAGCCTTAAGAGAGAAGGAAACTTAGTCATATGCTACAATATCGGTGAACCTTGAGGATATCATGCTAAGTAAAACAAGCCAGTCACAGAAAGACAAATACTGTATGAGAGTAAAACAGCCATATTCATCAAAACAGAAAACAGAAGAGTAGCTACCAGGGGTTGGCGTGGGGAGGGAAAAAAGGGGAGCTGTTGTTCAATGGGCACAGAATTCAGATTTGCAAGATGAACAACTTCTGGAGATTGGTTGAATAACAATGTGAATATAGTTAACACTACTGAACTGTATACTTAAAAGTGGTTGAGATGGTAAATTTTATGTTATGTGTTTCTTAGCAATTAAAAAAAGAGCAAGTAACATCTTAGTAGGTATTATGAAAACAGTTTTGACCTAATTTTGACCTCACAAACCCCATGAAAGGGTCTCAGGAACTCACAAGGGTCAGTAAACACTTTGACAACCACTGCTCTAATGTGACCTTCTTTCTCTCTGGAACATCCATCTGCTTCTCTACCTATCTCTCCCCCTTCCTCTCTTTGACATGGTTTCCCAGTTCTTAAAAAGCCTCCACTCAACAATGCCGACTCTTGTAATATTCACAATGATTTGAAAAGGCCTCCTCCTTCTGTTTTAAAATATGGAATGTCGTTATTCCCTTTAAGCAGTTTGTTTATATTCCAGTATGAGCCCCTAAGCCTTCTTTCATATTTGTTTGTTCCGCCTCTGCCGTTCTCAAGCGCAAACACCGTATCTTCAGTATCCCCAAACTGTCACAGTGTTCCTCACATTTCTCTGCTAAGTATCAACCAATACTGACTGGTTTGGTCCTAGGGCTCACAATACAGAGCTGTGCGTTTGTGGTTAACTCCTCTATGTCTTTGTTAGCTGTCCAGCTATACATACTCAATTGGTCTCCTCAGAAAGTTCCAATGGCTTTTCAAAGCCATGTGTGCACTGGCAGAAA